ACATTATATATACACATAACTTATAAAATCCTACTAGTGTCAACTTTTACTAGTTTGACTGAAGGGTGGAAACCTGACCTCCTTTACCTTCCAACATTTATAATATAGTTGTCTTATTCATTTCCTTTACACACACTGAAAACCACAAGTGTCATAATTTTTGCTCCAACCATTAATTTAGAAAACTCAAGAGGAGAAAGAAAGGCTATTACGTTTACCCATATTTTTGCTCTTTTCATGCTTATTCTTCCTCCCTAATGTCCCAAGGTTCCACCTTTTATCATTTCTTTTATATGAGAATGTCTTGATTTCCCCTCCATTTCTGAACAATATCTTCACTGGATATAGAATTCCGAATTGACAGTTTTCTTTCAGCACTTGAAAAATGTGCCACCTATTTCTGACCTCCATGGTGTCTGGTGAGAAACTCGCTGCCACTCGAACCATTCTGTCCCTAGAGGCCATGTGTCATTTCCCTTTGGCTGCATTGGAGATTCTTTTCCTTTGGATTTAGCTTTCAGTTTGACTATTCTGTGTCTTGACGGGGATTTCTTTGGGTTTATCTTATTTGGTGTTCACTCAGCATTTTGAATCTGTGGGTTTATGTTGTTTTGCCAAATTTAGAAAATCGTCAGCCATTTTTTCTTGGAATATTTCTTCAGCTCCATCCTCTTTCTCCTCTCTTGGGACTTTAATGACATGACAGATTTTTTGTTCTAGTTTCACACATCTCCAAAGCTCTGCTCATTTTCTTTTTCAGTCTATTCTCTCCCTGTCGTTCAGACTGGGTAATTTCTACTATTTTATCTTCACATTCATGGATTCTTTCCTTTGTCCTCCCCACTCTATTGTTGAATTCACTCTGAGCCTTTTATTTTGGTTATTTCTTAGTTCTAAAAGTTCCCTTTAGTTCTTTACCTCTCTTCTTTGCAGAGATCTATTTTTTTCATGTTTCAAGTATGTTTATAACTGCTCATTGAAGTATTTTTATGATGCTTGCCTTAAAATATTTGTCAGATAATTCTAACATCTGTCATCTCAGTGTTGGCATCTGTCGTCTTTTCTCATTCAGTTTGAGATCTTCTCGGTTCTTCGTGTGATCAGTGATTTTTGACTGAAACCTGGTCGTTTTGAGTTTTCTACTATAAAACTCTGGGTCTTACTTAAATCTTCTCTTTTAGCAGGCTTCCTGTGACACCACTCCAGTGAGTGAGAGGAGCACCACCACCTCTTCACTGCCAGGAGCAGGTGGAAGTCCAGGCCTCCCACATGGTCTCTTCTGACACCACAGAGACGAAGTCATTACCACCCACCAGAGATGCAAGTCCCAGCTCAGGCCTAGTCCCCAGCTGCCACTAGGCCTTCTCTGATACCACGGGAGAGGAGTGGGAAGGAGGTGAAGGTGTTTTGTTACAGCCAGGCAAGGGTGGAACTCCAGGCCCCACCTCATCTTTGCTGGTGGGAATGGGGGTGGGGCTGCAGTTTGTTCATGTGATATTTGGTGGCAGTAGAGCCATTATTGTTTAGAAGGTTTGTTTTACTACACTGTCTCTTTCCTGGTATGTTGGCTACAGTGAACGGGTTTTTGTTGGGGCTTTTTTATGGCTGTGCTCTTTGGCATTTCTGGGTTGCTGGCTTCTCCAGCTCCAAGTCTGGGCTCTATAAGACAGAAAGAACACCCAAGGAACTCACTACTTGTATTAGTTTGCCTGGGCTGCCATAACAAAATACTCGAGACTGGGAGGCTTCAATAGAAATGTAGTTTCTCACATTCTAGAGGCTGAAAGTCCAAAATCAACATATTGTCCAGTTTGGTTTCTCCTGAGGCCTCTCTCCTTGCCTTGCAGATGACCACCTATTAGCTGTGTCCTCCTATGGTCTTTTCTCTGCACATTCACATGTATGCTGTCTAAATTTCCTCTGATCAGATTGGATTAGGACCCACCCTAAAGACCCCATTGTTAACTTTAATAACCTCTTGTAAAGACTTCCTCTCCAAATAAGGTTATATTCTGAGGTCCTGGGGGTTAAGAGTTCAACACATAAGTTTTGGGGGGACACAATTCAGCCTATAACCACAGTATCCTTCCCTCAGATCCTGAGGTCCCTAGTCTGTCTGCCTTTTCCTATCCACTTTCAGAGTCTTGTTTGTTTTATATATAACATCTAGAATTTTAAATTGTACTTAGTGGAAAGAATAGGGAAACTATGTTTACTCCATCTTCTTGGAAATGAAAGTCTCTTCTTTGTATTTTTATCTAGTTTCTTTAAAAAGTGACCTCCCATGGTTGGTAAATGGTAAAGCCAGCTATTTTGACTCTCACATCCTGGGTCTTTATACCACATTACATTAGTTTTACCTCAAATAAAATGTATAAAAAAACCAGAAACACAAAATGCAAAAGTGTACCAAAATAATAAGACTTAAAAAACATTAAGGTTCTTGAACAAATCCTTTAACTGACACGCAAGGAGCTTGGATGTCACCACTCCATCCCAACTGCTAAAAAGCAGAAGAAACTGAAAATCAAGAACTCGTTTCAGATCCATCAGAGAAGTGAGCTCACAGGGCAAACTGCTGTCCCCCAAATGGGAGAGATCAACAGGCGAATACAGAGAATCACAACTTACCAGAGGAGCAGCCTCCTAGAGAACAAGTGCCTGGGGAAGGAAAATCTGAACCATAATTGATGAATTGCTGGAGGCTCAGTGTAGACAAGTCTGAGTTAAAACATCCAAGGGGAGCCAGTCATGGGGGCGGGGGGCACAACACTGTGAGTTTTATCTCCAGTAGGTCAGCCTGACTCTCATAATGAAGAGCAGAGGAAAACCTCCTCATGCTTCTGGCATCAGGAGGGGAAAAGGAGCCATTCTGAAATACGTCAGAGCGTTCTGTTCTTCCTCACAAGACCTGCCCTCTGGAGAAACTAGTTAACCAGTCAGACCTGCTGGGGTTACATCAGAGCCCAACCGACCTGGGAAAGGGAAATAACAATGGCAGCCCCTAGACGTTGTCCCACCTAGAGGGAGATAAAGAAGTTAAGATTCTTGATGATGAGATCCCTACTTTTGCCCTTCCCATGGCACAGCTGTCAATAAGGATGACCCTTGTTCCTCAATGTGACTAAGGTAGAGTTAAAGGACATAGCAAAGAATTTTTAATACAGAGAAAACTGGTGGGTTAATCTTGGTAATCAGAACAGGGCCCTGCTGAGATCTTTGAAGCAATGTGCATCCCCACCCCGGACACTGTGGTAGCACCTCTCAGGGCAAGGCAATTTTTCAATTCCCTATCAAAGGTAACAATCAACCAAAGAAAAATTCTGGGTAAAGCACACAAATAATTTTAACATGCAAACTGAAACGTTAAAACTCACAGATCCTCTGCCCCAGGAAATCACTGAGGACTTCCCAGATTTCCCAGCAGTCTCTCTTATGAGACAAAATTGTAACTCACTGTCATGGACAGACCAGCATTTCACTCAGCACAACTTCTAGGTTGAGAATGAAGCCAAGCTCACACATAATTAAGAACCATTAACCAAAGTGGCCTGGCCCACAGTGCCAGGGCTGTGACTCAAGACTCCACCAAGGCTCATGGACTGGCCACAATGCTGTGAGATCCCACCTGGGGCCAGTGGACTGGGCTCAGTATCCAAGAGAGCAGAGCTGAAATCCAGTAGTTCTGACTCTGTCAAGTGCACCTTGCTTGAGCCCACTGCCCGTCACTGAAGTAAGAGGAGTCGTACCTGCCCTGTTCCTGCAAGCAACAGCAGTGGCGCCCGGATGAGGGGCCATCCCAAAACGCAGGGGCTCCACCACCCACCCACCCGCCCACCCTTCTCCAGGCTCCCTCAACACCGCCGTCCTCTCTCTCTGCCACATTCCTATGCTCAATCCAAAACTCACGCCACTTTCCTGGATGTGTTATGTCTTTTCTTGGGGTGAATTAGACATAATCCCTCTTCCCCTTCCTCATTTCCATATTTTATGAAAATCATGGGGAAGAAATCCAAAAGAATGAATCCCACAGATATTTGCAAGTCAAAAAGTAAGCGAGTTCTGAACCCTGGGGCTTTGGGATACTTCCAAACTGCACTGAACGGCTTAGCTCCACAAAACTGCCCCCGTGTCCATGCTCTTTCTCAATGTCTGCCGTCACCACGAGTAGTTCCAAACAAGCTTCTCAGGTCTGTTCATCCCTGCTCGGTAAGTGGTGCATCGCTTAGTGTAGGCCAAAATAACGACAGTGAGAAAGAAGAAACCATCCCAGAGTCCTCTCTCTCTCACACCACGTCCAACCTAACACCCACCCTCAGTTCCAGAGTCTTTTGGAGAATTCAGCAAGACATATAAAACCACAGCTTCCTGGGCCTGGACCCAGAGAGACCGACTGGAAAATCATGTCCAGTTAAAAAAACATCTCAAAGTGAATTTGAAGGACAGGCAAGTCTAGTTTAACCTGGCTAGCGATGGAAGCAAGCGTTCCGCCCAACTGCTAGATGCTTTATGCCCTGGGTGCTGGTTCAGGTTTTGTCGCTATCTTGCAGAGCCAACTGACTTGGAAAATGTGTTGCTTTAACTTACTGCATCGTTCTCCCGTTTGTTATAAAAGCAATAAAAGACTCCTAACACTAAACCTTGAGAGAATTCTTAACGAAAGTGAAAGCTCTCCAAGTTTTCACTCAAGGAGTCTGGTTCACAGATCACTATGACAAATGGCACTTCTTTTTCTCCATTTGGTCTGTGCTGCCGGAAGGACACACGATGATTCTAAGCCTGGGTAAGACCTGAAACTCGCTCCACACAGCAGTCAATACCATGTGCACAGATTCAGCTCAAGTAGCATGTAAATGTTTTCAATATCCACTCATCAAATCACAATATTATAACAACCTGGATGTTTTCAGAATTTTCTTTTAAATTAAGTTCTCCAATATTTTTCTTAGCAATCCAACAATGAACCATGCAAAGCAGAAAGCCAACCTTTAACACTGAAGGTTTCAATATTTTATTAAAATAGCATATTTAACTACTGTTAACCAAGAATACGTTAACTTTGTCTCCCCCCCAACCCAGAATACGCAGCACGACACAGTAGTGATTTCAAATGTCCTTGATCATGATAACCAACAGAAATATTTCAAAGTCAAGTTTGCGACTAAAAACTAGACCTTGGAAAAATTCTGAATTAAAAGAAACATAAAGCTCTCAAACAGAACTCTTTTAATCGCCCGAAGGATAAATGCCGGTACGCCATCCACCTGACAATACTGGTAGGTTGTTTTGTTATTTTTCCTTTATGCATAGTATAATGTCTCCTTTACAAGTACCCACTTTTATAAATAAAATCAGCATTTTTCACCCCACTTAATGTTCCTTTTCAGCTTCACAAAGAAACCAGTAAATAAAACTGTCAACGACAGTCACGACATATGCTCTCACAGCAAGATAAAAAACTTGAAAATACGCAGAGATGCATCTACACTATCTTACATAAAAAGACAGATTTAAAAAGTGCAAGGCAAAATTTGCAGTTTTTTGAGGGGAGTTTTTAGGCACATCCATTTCTTTAAAGCAAGCTTCAGAATGAAATTCCAGTTTGTTCTTCATGACACCTGTTTAAGTCTTTCTTTAAAAAAAATAAAAAATAATAAAAAAAAAATACATCCCATCAAGTGTGCACAGGGAGTCTCTCGTCCCAGGAGGTGAGGTTTCAGCCAAGGCGCGTCCGTCCTTTTTTTATTCTTGCGGGCTTTGGTTTGGGGATGTACTGATTATTTGCCTGGTACTCGAGTTCTTTCCGGAAGTAGTGAATTGCTTTGTTTAGCCCTTCTTCCAGCGGGACCTATGGGAGGAGAAAGTGGCAATGAGAGGCAGGGTCGCTGTTGGGAGAAGCAGCAGACTGGCCCGGGCCTTGCAGGAGGGAGGTGCCAATTTGTGGTCAGGGCTCTTGGAGGGACTCAGAGCACCACACGTGGGTCCCTCGGCCACTTGGCCAACCAGGAGAAGCCAGAGGTCCTTCCACAGCTGCCTTCAGAGCGTGCTGTGCAGTCTGACACATTTCACTCCTAACTGACATAAAACGAGCTCTAACCCCCCAAAGGCCCCAAACCTCCTCCTGCTGGTTGGCATCTACTCCAGTTTGAATCAATCCCTGAGATCACGTTAGAAATAACGCACACACACACCTTCATTTCAGGAGAAGTCTACCATGGAGCGAAGATGCTTGAGAAGCATCTGTGCCCGATCCATATGCCTCATTTGCCCACATGACATTTGCCCTTTGCACTTTCATCCCCAGTGACCCAAGAGGCTGAGTCTGAAAGGGATCCCTGACAACACCTCGGAAGCAATCTTGATTTGGAGCTGCCCCGCAGCAAACAGGAAACAAATGAAATCGGCTGCCATGAGAACAAGGGACGAGTGTGGAGGGAGGCATTGCCAAGGGACCCTGAAAACCTCAGGGGAGAGGGCTGTATGTTACCTTGACTGTGGCGACTGTTTCACAGGTATAAAAATACGTCAAAACTTATCAAATTGCACATTTCAAATAGAGGCAGTTTGCTGTATGTCAACTGTACCTCAACAAAGCTGTTAAAAACAGACACGTGGGAAAATGAAGATATGACTAAAAGCTTCTTTGGACAAGAGCCCTCAAAAATTTCCTAGCAATTAAAACTACTAGTAGAAAGGGAAACTAGTGGTAAATTCCCCATATTCTAAAAATGTTAGAATATTATACATTTAAACTCCAGACAAATAAAAATACCCACTGTAGACATACTTCACATACTGTAGAAGCAGGAGCTATTACGTGGTGAATGTGTATTTAACTTTTTTCAAAATACTTCAGTTAAAACATAGGTTCTACTTACAAAGGGACCAAGGGCACATGCTTTCCAAACATGAAGACCTCTGCCTGCTGTGACTCATGCCGTACATCTGGGATCGTGACATTAGGTTTTGTTAATCTAATGATCCTATATTTATTTCATTCAACAAAGTTCAGTGGCCTTCAGCAGATCACTCAGACTTGTGGGTCACAGCACAAAATAAGGAGTGGCTGGAGTTCTCACCTCCCTTAGGGTCACCATGCTCTGTCTCCACTGACTCAGCTCTCTGAAGGGAGCAGTTCAACACGCCACCCCAGGAACAGGCCACTTTGGTATACTGATTATCCTGAGCTGTAGGCACTTGAAAAACAGCCAATGCAGGAGAGGCTTTCTCTAAACTCCCCTTATCTGCCTAAAGACAGACGCTCCAAAAGGAACTCAACTGTCATTAAGTCCCCTCCCTGGGAACTGCATCACCCATGAGGACTGACTCGTCACAAGAGAGGAGACTAGACATTGACATCAGAGAAGTGTGTCACAATCATATCTCCATCCAGTCTTCTAAGGGCCCACTCATCTTTCCTAAAAATCATTTACTCTCCTCTCAGAGGCCTATGTGCCCCACTCCTCTTTTCCAGTTAAGATGGTATTTAAGCCTGAATTCTAAGCCACCCCTTTGAGTGACTGGTTTTTCCCTGGGTAACTCCCATAGATACATGTTAATAAACTTCTGTTTGTTCTTCTCCTGTTAATCTGTTTTTTATTACGTGGGGGTCTCAGCAAAGAACACAGAAGGGTAGAGGGAAAATTACTTTTCCTTCCCTACCTTCAGTACTACATACATTTTCTAAAGCGTAAACAGCCCTCGGCCGTGCCCCCACCTCTCTGGGCCTGTGACCTAACGTGGAGGCAGCCACAACCCGCAGAGCCACACCCAGGACGGTCCTCCATTTATCGAGCACTCACTGTGAGGCAGGCTCTGCGGCAGCTGCTGTGGGTACTGTACACAAGCCCAACACATCTGCCCTCAGTGAAGGCACATTCTAGCAGGGCCCATGGGGGTAAGCAAAGAAGCAAAGAGGGAAGGCAGAGACATGACATAAGGTAAATGGGGTGAGCCTGCTCCTGTGGGTGTGGCTGCCCAGGAAGGCCTCTCTAAGGAGATGGCCTCTGAACTGAGGCCTGAAGGATAAGAAGGCAGCAGCCACGCACAGCCCCAGGGGACAGGCGGCCCTGGAATCTAGGCAGCCCTGGAGGACACAGGGCCCGGGAGGACAAGCATTCTAGACAGAGGGAGAAGAACCTTCTTGCAGGCCACAGTAAGTCGGACAGTCTGAGAGCAAAGGGAAGGCACGAAGGTCCACTTGTTTCCTCGCCTTCAGTCTTTCTCACGTCTAAGCAGGTGTTGTACCTGCGCAGGAGCTGGTGTGGACCTGCTCACTCAGTTCACACAGCAACCTGGCCCAACCCTGCACGTCCAAAGACACTCCAGGCCGAGGAGACACAGGCAGGTCAACAAAGGCCCAGAGCACATGCTGCCATCCCCTCAACGCTGCTTCCTGGGAGTAAGCTGTGTGCGTGTGGGATTTTACGAAAACAGAGCCCCTAGGAGGCCCAAGCCACTTTCCCCGTAACAGAGAATGAGACACATGATATGAGACTCTGTGTAATGACCTGAAGAAAACCCTATGCCTGGTCTTCCCAGATGCCCAGCCCACCTCACTCTGCTGGGGGCCACCCAACAATGGCCAGCACCCACAGGGACACGGATGTGGCATGTGGAGACCTTTCCCTGCGAGGCCACGTAATTCGCCCACACTTACCACGGGCTCCCACCCCAACATCAGCTTCGCTTTTTTGATGTCTGGTTTCCTTTTCTGTGGGTCATCCTGAGCTTCAGAAAGAAACTGAATTTCACTTCTGCTACCTGAGTTGTTAAAAAAAAAAAGTAAGAGACAATCACAAACCACTAGAAATGTGACTTTTACTGTACACATCAAAGTAAAATCCCACCTGTGCAGCGAGTAAGGGTGCAGACTGCATAACACATCTCTCACAAGTCACCTAGCAACGTGAGGGACTGTACTTCTGGCCCGTCAAGAACTTGGTGAGGAGCAGGTTCCTCTGCCTCTAGAGGCCTGAGCTACCCCGAGTGAAACAGGAGGGTCTGCCCCACACTGCTGGCTCCAAGGCTGACCACCCACCATCAGCTGACACAGCATATGTGCCCACCAAGTCCGATGCCAAAGTACATGAAAACAGCAAATGTGGTGTGTGGTGTATGGTGGTCTGTGACACTGATGTCCCCAACGAGCCACACCTGGGGCGTTCATGCCTTGGAGTAATTAGCTCGCCTTCAACTGTTTAACCAGTAGAGTGTAGGGGGGAGGACCAGTAACAGGCCAGCGCCTTACAGAAACCTGGTCACTTATGTGCCTGCAGCATCGAGTCCTGAGGCAACACCTAAAATGTCCAGTTATCCTGGAGACACCACATGCAGAAGGACAGGGAAGCCTGGCTTGTCCAGCATTCTAGCTGGATCCAGACCCTGCTGGCCAGTAGAATGAAACCACACCAGTGACCGTCAGCTAGAAGACACTCCTAGGGAAGGCCAGCCTTCATGGAAGAATCTTGAGCAGATCAAACAGTGGCTGTTTTCAGCCACTGCGGTGTGGGGGTGGTGTGTTACACAGCCATTCACAGAAACACGGTTGGTCATACTGTGGCCCACGCAGGCTTTAGACCAGCGCTTCTCAATCTTGAATATGCACATCGCTTGTGAAAATGCAGATTCTGATCCAGGAGACGTGGGTGGGTGTGAGTCTGCATCTCTAACAAGGGCCTGGATGATGCTGAGGATGCTGGCCCAGGGGCTCCACTCTGGGAAGAGAGGTTTTCCATGGCCTAGATGCCACACCAGCTGTTATCTAAGCACGTCCCTTCCTCACTTGGGAAGGGACAGACAGATTCAGAAGGGAAAAGCTGGGGCATGGCCCTGAATGGGGGCTGCTGGAGCCACGAGAGGCTGCCGTTTACGTCTGCAGAAGACCACCCCTCTCCTGTCCAACTGTCCAGAGCTCATCAGAACAGTGCTGGCGGATGACAGCTCAATGCCAGGAAGGCCAACCCTGAAGAATCAATTGAGCCAAGTGTAGCATCTGGACAGCCACTCCAGAACGTCCTACATGACGTACACCCCCAGTCTAGCCAACCACACTCCAATCCGGTTGTGTTTTGACTCAAATTTCTCCATCAACCCCGTAAAACAGACACTCCCCAAGAGCCAGACTTCCCAGAGTGCCAGTAGGCCTGATGACGTGACCAAGGGCTCCCCCAACAGGCCTGCAACCCAGGGGCCGGCTGAAAATACACAAACTTCTTGTGGCTTAAGAGCAGATCCTTGACTGGGGCTACTCCCCATGTCTACACTGCCCACAATGTTTCACGGCCAGGTTGGCCAGAACTGTAAATAGAACTTAAAACTCGCCAACAGATTCCGTCAGAAATGCACGAGCCGGCCTCTCTCTCTCTGCTCTCTGAAATTTCATGCTCCTCACTGCCAGTGTTTGGAAACAATCGTCACCTGTGCAGAAGGACCTACCACAAACACATCCCAAGCCCTCATCCCACTCCACACAGACCTGCAATTACAACTGTGCACAAAGCCAGCCTCCTTTCCCACCTCTTCAGCTGTATCTTCCCATTACTTAATTAAAGAATCAGAAAACAATCAAGTGTTCCCGATAAAGTTCTGCTTTTTATCTATCCAGTTCAATTAGCTTGTATAAATTACCCACTTTCTAGTCAAGGTGTTATTAACTGATAGGGTAAGTGCAGCCGGTTTCACTCAGGAAGGTGTTTGTCCTACTTACCAACAAGGTTTTTAATTAACTGAGCAAACTCGAGGATTGTGTGCTCTTCTGGGTTCCCCTAAAGAAGAAATGGTTTCTGGTTATAAGCGTAATTGAAACAGCAGCCACCTCACCACCCAAACCACATGCGTGTCTTCAGAGACGTTCACGGGCGTCTCAGGAAGTCTCCAGACTCCTGCCTCTTCACGTCTCACATCATCAAGATGACGATTACTCAGCCTGGCCAAGTGCTCAACTCACCTGTCTCTGCCTCTGTCCTCCAGACTCATGGTTGACAAGAACCCCGTCCGGCTAACTCAAGAGTATCTAACGTGGACACACATGCGCTAGCGGAGCTACCAGGACAGACAAGTTCTGTATCTAACGTCACTGTAAGTGCAGTGTCACTTGGCATAAAAATTTGTTCTGCAAATTTTATTTTAGCTCTCCTAAGACAATATATTTCCCTCTGGGTGCTCTATGTCAACAGCTTAAGTAATAAAAGACTCGCAAACTCACACTTGAAACCATAACAGGAATGAAAGGTACTCGAAGATGAGGGCTCTGGGCAAGCCAGAGGGAAGGACTCAGTTTGGTTTATAAAGTACGCTTACTTTTTGGGGTGCTCTAAGGGAAACCATTTTCTCCTTGTCTCCCTCCCATCACACAATACAGCAACCACCGCCCCCCTTCCCTTCCCAATCCTGTTACTCTTATTTGCCACCCTACTCCTGATCGTAAGAAACAACCATAAAGTTTGGCAATTACATATCCTAAATACCCTTCATCCCCAATTTACTAGTTTGGTCTGAAGCTAGAAGATAAGAGAGGCACGCAGGGACCTTGGGCCTCATTATGGGCACAAAGAAAGGACTGACTAGCAATGTGGAGTGATGGGAATTTGGGATAAGGTGGCAGTCTTTATCAGGGCTACTGGCAGACACACTCTTCAGACTTTAGAAAAGACAGGTTTCTACAAGAGACGGGTGTTCCCAAATGTCCCTGTGCAAAGGCCCCCAAAAAGAGGAAAGAAGGAACATGGTATCTAAAGAAAAGAGTGTGGATGCTCAAAGGGATCACAGACAACACGCACATTTGGAAGGGGATGTAGGGAAAATACAGGGGTCAGGGTGGCAGGGCCTTTACAAGCGTCAGGCCAGCAAATGCTCAGAAGACACGTCTTATTCTGTTTTTAATTGCATTTTTCTTCAAAAGTGGAAGCAGTGCGGGCTCCATGCTTGCAGCCACCAGTATCCACGAACTGGCCGACAGCCCACAAGGGGGCGACGACTCCAGGGCACCCCTTCCTATCTGGTAAGAACTCCCTCCCAACTCAGTGAACAATGAATGCTATGGAACATGCTTAAGACTGCTGGTTACAAAGAAAAGTACAAGAAAGTTTTTTGAGCGACGTGGTTTCCAAGAAATAAGCAGGCAGGGCCACACCCATCTGAGGGATCTAAAACGTAGTAGGAAGCAGAAGAGGTGGTCTGGGAGAAGCCCCTGAAATAGACCCCAAGGCTTTGTCCAGGTGAGGCAGTGAGGTGGCTCCCTAATGAGCCCCTTCACTACCATCAACAGAAGCAGAACATCTGGAATGCTGGGCAGTCTACACTGGACACTTCATGTTTTAAATGAGATGGAATGAAAGCATTCAGAACACAGTGACTGGAAGGTAGGAGGACTCCAGCATGACATGAACTCTGGCTGAAAGAGCTGGAGAGGAGAAGACTCGGGGGTATGACCTCAACCTTTAAATCCTTGGAAAGCGGCCATATTGCAGAGACATCTGACTAGCTGTGAATGGTCCTCCAGGCGGAGAAGTAAGGCCAGCGGGCAGGTGTACAGAGAACGAGATTTTAGTTCTAAACATAAAGAAAAACTTCCTGTCAGCCAGAACATGACAGCATGAACTGCTTTGAGGGGAAGCAAGTTCACCAGCAGTGAAAGTGTTTAAGGCTGAAGAGAGACTGGGCAAAGCAACCTTCTAATGCTGCCAACAGCGAGATTCTGGGACTGCAGCGAGCAACGGAGGAGGGAAGGTGGTCTGCACAGCTGAACTACAGACGTGATCAACATGTGGGACACTTTCTTGACAACCCCCATCTTCTGAAAACTCACTATATCAAGTCTTAGAAAGATTATCTATACATTAAATGATGGAGAAAGGAATGCACACAAAAAATGTCCATCTACTACCACCACAAAGCTCCAGCAATTTTCAGACCTGGGCCCTTCAGGTGGACGAAGCTGGTTTAGTGCCAATTACATTGCACATCCACACCGTGCAGATGCTGTACTTCTCTGTAACTCTTACTTCGTTTTGCTTTGTGTTCTTCTCTAGTATTCACATTCAGCAAGCAACAAACACGCATGTCCTAAGTGTGCTGATGGCAAATAAAGCCCAGCCTGGTGCTTCTCGTGGTTTCACGGAAGAACGGAACTCTGACCTGTTCTGGAGAGATGGAAGGGGAGGCTGCACTCACCAGGTTGACCGGGCTGCTGACGTTGCTGTTCATGAGAGCCACGAGGCCATTCACGAGGTCGCTAGAAAAGAAGAGACGGCCAGGTCAGGTGCCGCCTGCTGAAGAGTGCTGGTGCCGAGCATCAGGCACGTCACCTCCCAGAGAAAAAGCCCAGCCCAACGGAAACCTGAACGTCAACACAAAACCCTGCACACAAGAGGGGGCTGGGAATGCTGAAGCACTAACGGATGAAATGAAATGACATGTGGGGTGTGCTTTCAGTGTGTGGGGCAGAGACGGTTAGACAGGATGCAAACTGAGCAATGGGGTTGAGCTATCAACTCTGTGTGTTTCTGAAACCCTTTAACAACTAAAAAATAAATTAAAATAGGCACACACCCAAAAAAGATGGCATTTATACAACTTTCTGATGCAAGTCCATGTATAATGTGAACCCAGGTAGTTGGCGCATACCAAAGCAGATGATTTTTAAAAAAATAAGATCCACTGTAATGCAAGAACTCCAGTATGTAACCCCCACACTGGCAAATCACAGACAAAGCAAACCTGAGTGGTGAACTAAACGGGAACGTGGCTCCCTACTCCCTCAACCTTCGGTCCACCACCCCCAAGGGAACACCTCGTATGACACTGTCAGGGACATCTGGATGTTTCAAATGGATCGTGATCGATGGGGCCATGAAGGTGAAGAGAAGTAAGCAAACTGTCGCTTACCAAGGTTTGGTGCTTATTTTCAGAAGCTTTAAAGTGTGGCTCTGTTAAAAAAAAGTTACTTCGTAAAAATGACACCTCACTGCTAGACACAAAGACTTCTCTAAGTCTATTTTCATCAGCTGTATTTCTTAGAAGACTTTTGAAATTCTCTTCTGGTGATCCAAATGAAGTCTATTTTGAAACTTCTCCCTCCTCCTCCATCATTACTAGCAAGGAGCAGGTTACTATCGTAAACTTCCAAAAGAAAACCTCAGTTTTTGCTTTCCTTTTCATCAAAAAAAAAATTTTTTGGTGGGGTATTAAGTAAACAAACTATGTGCTGAGTTTTTGCTTACAACAAATGTTTTATACGAACATGCCTGAAGTCATTCTAGTCTCACAGATCAAGCACAAATGCAAATATCTGCTAACTTTGGATGATTTCTCTTTTCTAGGAACTGGCAAAAAGTCACTTCATCACTATGGCAGTAATTACTACACCACAACACGTTCTCTTTTGGCATACGTCTCTGCGTATTCATAAGAAGACATTAAAAGCTGCCATCCAGTAGCATCCACAATCGTTTTTAATACTGAATTGGGAGGGGGGTCCATATTAGGCTGGAAGACGACTGACTCTTATACAGTCATCCTCATTGGGGGAGGTAAGGGGGGCAGGCCACGCATTTTTTATGTAATAAACCGGCAACTTTTAAGGTCAAAATTGCACAAACCACACTCATTTAACCTGCAGCTCTTTACAAGTGTCATTTTGACAAAGTGACTTTTTAAATTATGTGGATGAGGACGCACCCTGACCATGAACATAGCAAACACGGTCATGCCAAGATGTCGATGGGTATGATCACCTAGACCTCAGAAACCATGAAATGCCACCTTAAGGCAACCATGGATTTTGGAAACAGTTAATTTTGTACAGTAACCACAGAATCAGCCATTGTGCATTTTTAACTGTGAAGTAAAAGATTCTCAGTTTCCAAAAAATAGCTTATTAAAAATAGCAGCACTTGGGTAAGTTACCGATCTCAGCTGAGTCTTGCCCACCTAAAGGTGGCAGTGGAAAGCCCTCTCCTGGGTCTGGTAAGTCACGGGAGGCTCTTTTTCTCAGCCCCTAACCTGAGACTTGAGCGAATATCTCCAGAGCAGGGGAGGAAACGATGATGCCATCTCATGAGGAAAGTGTTTCTGAAAGGGTTACCAACAACACTTCTAGTGAAACGACTTAAGTCTTCTTTCCAAGCTGGCTGCTGGCATGAGATGATGACCATGCGCGTGAACCGGGCCCAGGCAGCAGGGCATGTTCTGCCCTGAGCTGATGGAAGGCAGCACATGCATCACTGAAGTCTTAAAATACTTTAGTCTCTAGCAAAAAGATGTATTTGAGGCTGTTTTAAAATGAATTTTGGGGGCCGGCCTGGCGGTGCAAGCGGTTAAGTGCGCGCACTCCGCTGAGGTGGCCCGGGGTTCGCCGGTTCGGATCCCAGGCACGCACCGACACACTGCTTGTCGAGCCATGCTGTGGCAGCGTCCCATATAAAGCAGAGGA